GGCTGTGTTAACAGTGTATCACCAGGATGGTGTCGTCCTGGATGACCGGTCTCGGGTAAGAGACCGGTTGACGACCTCTCCCCTGGCGCCCGAGCGGCCCCGTTATATCGGCGCGGCTAGCGATATTTAACCGCGAGAAGCGGCCGCGGTGTCCGGCCGGCGCCACGTAGCGGCGCCGCGCCGAGTTAACGCGCGCCGAGGCGCCTCGTGACTCGCGTAGGCGGGTTGGGTGGGGAGATATTAGGCGCGGATCTTCGGTGTCTAACGATATATTTAACATGATGGAAACAAAACTAGCTTCTAAGTAAGTAACATCATAACTAAAAAAAAAGACCAACTATATACACGAGATGATTATATAATAGAATAGAAGGAAGAACGACGGAACGAAGCATGAAGTAGCATAAATAGCAACAAAACATAGCGGGACAGGGTGTCCCGTTACATGATCACGTAAATTTTCTAAGTCTTTCTCGGAATAAATGCCACTTGTTGCGAGTGCGGCTGGGGTTAAGTATGTCCATGTGAGCTTTGTTAAAGGTTTCAGTATCTGGGGTGGTAATACCATGTTTGGTGTTGGATTGAATTGTATCCACGTATCCTCGATATGAAATTGTATAGGTAAAAGAGGATTACAGTTTCTTTCAGTGCTGTATCGTGTAAGAATTCGTGATTTAGGCGTTATGAAGTAAGATGTATTACTGAGCATTACTGGTAAATCGGTGAAGCATGAGTTTGTTCGTCGTAGTACGACTTCGAGCGGTATACACTTTACAACATGTATAACCTCGCCAGCGGCAACAGCCATATACCCAGGTGCCTTCATCAGACGGAAAGCAAATTCGTCTGGTAATAATGTAGCGAGAGACAAGGTATTTTGTAACACTTGTTTTTCTAACTCGCATTTTTGTTGTATTATATCATAATACAGTGCCTTCATCTGGGTCCTAATATGTCTTTCGACATATACAAATTTGGAGTTTATATATGTAAAAATATCTAAATTATCAATAGGAGTTTCTGTTTTTGTTTTGAATGTATTTCCTTGCTTTGTTTCAAAAATAAACAATTTTGGATGCTCAGTTCCCATTAGAGTATATCCACAAATAATATGTGGTCTTGTTAAAGTTAGAGCAAATGTAATGTCTTGTGTTGTCAATGTGTAAATTGTAGTGTCTTGTGACTCTATGTTGCCTTGCATTTTCATGGCATTTCCTTCATATAAAACATCATAATGGTTAAATTTGCATGCTGAATTTGGAAGAGGTTGCCAAAAAGTATATCCATCGTCCGAGTCTAAACAAGTTCCTTCTGAGAGAGGACACGTAGTTCCTGATTTTAATATAACCTTTCCTAATTCTAGATGTACCGGTACATAGGCCGTTCGCAATGATATTGTCACTTGTGCCTGGACTACTACATCTTCCCAAGTGCCATAATAATCAGAGTACATAGCGCCTTTGCAGGTACCGTCTACTCCTGCTTTTCCTGCCAGTGTTACGCTTCTATAAATTGTACTGTTTGGTTTTAATTGATCAATAATTTCGTCTGCTCCTAATCGCAACATTCCTTCACGATGCATGCGTAGACATTGTTCGTGCGATGTTCCTTGCAAATAGCTAGCTTGACCATTGTGCACAATAGAGACGTGAGAGTGCATCCCACAGTGATAAACAGTTCTGGATATTTCTATTTTACATTGTATAACTTCGACGTAATTATAATTAGAGAGTTGTAATAGCTGTATATATGTTTGTGTAGTCTTTGGTGTATCTTGTTGGAAGTCGCATCCTCCAGTATGCATAAGTGATATGGTAGTAGTATTTAGATGTGTTCCTCCGCAATCATATGCTAATAACGCAAGTACTGTACTTAAACCTGAAATGATGATGACGAAAACTGATGCCTATAACAAAATAATAAATTCCTATGATGATGTTGCTTGATATACATATACATATATGTATGTATGTGTAATGTATGTGGTGGTTAATAATTAATGTTGTTGCTTAAAGTATAATGATATAGTTAATAAGAATAATGATATAATGAATAAGTATAATGAATAAGTATAATGATATAGTTAATAAGAATCCAGGATTCTGGTTCGCATATTCTAATACAATTTTGTGTGCTTTCTCCTTTTTTATTTATGCTTTCCTTCATCCTGGGTCCTGGTTCCGATTAAAGCGTAATAGCTTTAATTTATCCGTATGAACAATACGAGGTTGACCTTTATACTTTAATTTGACATTCCGTGGTGGAAGTATTTCCAAAACCTCGTGCGGTCCCGTATATTGATCAGCAAATTTGCCTTTGATAGGTTCTTTTAATAAGTATACGAAATCTCCAACATTAAAATTTTGTTCATTGATACGTTGATCATAATACTTTTTACTCTTTTGTTTGGCTTGAATCAAAGTTTCTTTTGCGTTCATCTGCGATGTTCTGAGTGTATTATAAAGATTAGTGAGGTAACGCTGATATGTTATTTCTGTGTCTTCTTCCAGGATTGGGATTGATGAAGGGAGCCGAGGAGTTCTACCAAACACAAGGGAGAAAGGGGTATAATTAGTTCCTTCATGGACAGAAGTATTGTAGCAGAACATGGCAGTAAACAGATGTTCATCCCAACTGTTGTTAATATTAGTATACATTTTTAAGTATTCAGTTAAAACGTGATGGGACCTCTCTATTGATCCGTTTGATTGTGGTCTATAAGCGGTAGTTCTATACTGTTGAATTTTTAGTGATTTGGCTAGATTTTTCATTATAGACGTAAAGAAGTTTGGAGCTTGATCAGTCAGTAAGGCTTTAGGAGCACCGTATATGCAAATGAAGTGTTTCAGAAAATTGTCGGCTATTGTTTGCGAATCAGTTTGTTTAAGTGGTATAGCTATGCCATACTTAGTTAATAGGTCTTGAATTGTTAGTATATATCTATTTCCAAGTGGAGTAACAGGAAGGGGACCCATAATGTCCATTGATACTTTATCAAACGCAGCGCCCGGGGTGTCAGTAATTGTCATCGGTTGTTTAGTTTTGACCCGTGTTAATTTCTTTAACTGGCATTCTTTACAATTTTGAATATATTTTTGAATATCGGTTTTCATCGTGGGCCAATAGAAATTTTGTCTTAATCGGA